TATTTAGACTATAATTATAAATGAAACTTTTCTTTTATACAAACTTCTATTTTTTGCAAATTTTTGTTTAAAAATTGTTTGATTTAATGAAAGTATATTGAGTTATAAAACTATTAAATTGTATAAATTTTATAGACAAATACATAATATATCATATTATCTAAGAACGTTTAACAACAACTAAAACCAAAACTTAAAATTTTTAACACTAAATTCACACATTTTTTTATTTAGTTGTTATTGGTATTAGTAAAATAAAAAAATTATTTATTTAATTGAGAAACACAAAGCAAAGCTTCACAATTGCTTAAAATAATTCCAATTATGTAGAAATGTTCAATTTCCAGATTTGTGTGCGTTTTTTTTTAATATATTTTATTCTGTTTCAGACAAGTCAAATTATTCCTAATATGACCCGTACGTGATTATGATACCCCTGCAAGTAGCTGCATGTTGCACTGGCTGTGGTTCGTCTCACCCCCGACGGCCGCGCGCACTCGCACATCTTCCACCCCTTATCGAGGGGTGGTGTGTATTTATGCTGAGATACCCTCGTGGGAAGCACCCAGTCCTCGGACAGCCACCACCATGGCCAGACCGATTTTCGTTGTGCACGACCAGGAGACCATCGAGAACTACCGCCGACTTGAACGGATTTTGAGGGAGTTGTATCAAGTGTTGGGCGAGTTGCTCGCGTACGGGGCGCCTGTTGTGCCTGCCACGATACTGACACCTAGGCAAGACCCGCCACCACCGCCACCTCCATCAGGTTGGAAATTTTTCATATTTTTATCTTTCTAATTTTTCGTTATGTTTAATTTTTATAATTTTTCACATTACAGTGATAATTTTAATCATTGAAAAGAATTTTTTTACTGTAAACTTTCAATTTTTTTAATTTATAAATTTATCATGGATAAATACACTTTTCAACAATTACTTTTCACAAATTAATCTTTGCATAACATGCATGAAGTCATTTATTTAATTTGCTTGAAATTTCTCATTAAATTAAAGGACATATACTTATTCATTTTTGCAATCTACATATTTTTACAATTAACGAGATTACTGAATTTTTGCATTTTTACCACTATTTAATAAATAATCATGTTTTATATTTATTTTACAGAGACGCCGACTGTTCTGCAAAATGTTATCAACATTTTAGCCACACTTCTTGGCCAGTCAGTTCACTCCAACTCGAGTCGCAATTCCTCCAACCGTGGACACAATTCAAGAAATAATTCACACCACCGCAGACACCGCAGACAATCTATCGACGCCTCTGCCAAACCTGTTTCCTTTTCACCGGCGTTTGGAGATTGGTCGGCGATTGGAAGTGAACTGCGGCAAGTTGCCGATACTTTGGCCCCAAACGTCCAGTCATCATCAAATGAAGAGGGACAGGTATTAAAATTTTTAATTTGTTGCACCATTTTTAAACAAACAATTTGGTTAATTTCAGATCGTAGAGGGTGTTCCAGAGAGTTATGTTGGTCAAGATCAGAAACGACTTTCCCAAGAAGGAAACGGAAGAGATGAGAGGGACAGTGGAAAAACGTAGATCTAGTTTTTTGGAAGATTTTTAAATACGTCTAGTTATCATAGGCTTATTCCTCTTTGCGAGAGATCTAATAAAAAATGAACTGACACTTTTTGAAGAAACTTCAGCTGCCAATTTTTGTAACATATTTTGAACTTTGTACAAATTCTAAAATAAACACTTTTGAATTAAAAAAAAAAAAAACGTGATGCATTTTTGTTTCTTAAAACCTCAGCTGCATGGATTTTAAAAAGGAGAATTAATTTTTTCCATTTAACGCAATAACGTCACCTCCATTAGCGTTTAATGTGCGTGAAGCCGCAAGTGTTGGATGAAAGGGTGGTTAACCCCGCGCGAGTAATTGCATTGGCCCAGGTCATGGAGGGGCTGAAAAAAGTTATTCACACCTCGGGGGTTGATTGCTACTTTCACCAGTTGCAGGGGTGAAGTGAACTGCTACGCCATCTATTCGCAGGGGTGAATTTTAGGGGTTGTAGGACGAGGGTGCAGCAGAGGTGGACAGATGGCGAGAGGGTTCTCTTTTTAAGGGATGCCTGAGCTAAGAGTAGCGAGGGGAAAATTTAAGGTTGAGAAAAATGCAAGTAGATGGCATGGGATTTTAACTTATTAATGTAAATTTTGCTTCATAATTTCTGGATTCTTATAAGCAGAAAAAGAAAATATAAAGATATTGAAGATCAGTAAGATCACTAATAATTAAAACGGGATAATTTTCTGCACTTCATGAATATAATGTGGAAGTCAAATAAGAAATTAGTGTGAAGTTATTCATCTCCATGAACATAATAATGTATTTTAATTTATTTTGGATAATAAGATCTTTTATAATAATTTTCATTTTCTATTTGTCACATATTTTTGCCTCACATGGTTAAATTTCAGTTATTGAAATCAACTCATTTTAAAAATAGAATTGATGGGCAAAACAGCATCAACGCTAGCAATAATTTTGCCTTACCTGCTGAGATAAAAAATACCCTACCTGCTGCAGTGAGCACAAAGTTAATTATGAATATTTAATTATTATTACCTAAAAATTTCCAAATACATAATTGCAAAATTATAATAAAAATTATTTAAACAAATAATACACTCGATAATTTTTTAATTTTAATTTTTTTAATAAAATTTGTGTTACTAAATAAAAAAAATTCTGTTATGCATTAATTTATCAACATTTGCACAATTTTACTCCCTAAAAGACACTTTTTTAGATCAAAAATTAAATTACATAGGTATAAAAATTATTGAAGAGACGTCAATATAAATTTATACAAACGTATAATTTCACCTCAGCATGACTTTTTTATTTCCACATTTACAATTAATTGAATAAATATTCTTTTGCTGTTTTTTTGTTACGCAAATTAATTTTGGTAATTATCTAAGCATGAGAACTTGCTCCGTGTGGCTGACTTTGAGCTCTCGAGAAACCATCGAGTTGGTGCGCGGCACGATTTCATCAATCAATTAACTTTCCACCCGACTCGACCCGCGCTCGCGATTTTTAATCATACACGCCCGCGCCGCCGGGATTTAATTACACGCTGCAATGGCTCAAACAAAAGCAGCCCGTCCTTCTTCGGCAGACGCAAATTTTGACGGCCTAGCAGGCAGATTATCGATAAGTAATTATACTTACGAGAGGGGGCTTCGGCCCATCAAATCTCGAAGAGGCGACTCTCGGCCGGAATTTTATTTAATTAACCATTAACTGGCTAATTAAACAGAAGGAATTTAATTAACTAGGAATCTTTGCTCTCTCGCGCGGCGTCAGCCCGGCCCAGCTATTTCCCCATTAAAATGTCACTCACTCGGCGAAACACCTCCTCTTGCAAATTGCTGGCCGAGACGCACGCCTCCCCGGCGAAAGGGTAAAAAGTCCTTTTCTTGGCCGAAACTATGCGCTCAAGGGCGGTGGCTCGGAATTAAACGACCGCGTAATGGATGGGGGGAATTTGGGCCGCGGTCACTGGAAATGCACCCCAAGACCGGCCTCCGATGGTCCTCTGGTTAGAGTGCATCTAGGGTCAATGCTCACCACACCGAGGAGAGGAACCGAGGAGGCGCAAAGCCAAGAAAATTCCTGTAAAATACATTTGAATAGTTCTAAAAAATAAAGATTCCTTTGTTTGTTTATTGGTTTTACAATCAATGGTAATAAAAGAATTTTTCAACAGTAGTAAATTATAAAAAAAATGGTATAGCATAAAAAGTAAAAATTACTGAAACCCTCAAGAAAGATAAAATTTTTTTATTGAAGTAGCATTCAAATTTTTTCAAATTTATAGATCTTGTTCAAAGAGTGTTAACTGAAATGAAAGCATTTTGAATTGTAGAAATTGGTACAGCAACTACGGTCAATTCATCAATTTATTTATAATTGTTTATACCGTTCTAAATAAATGTGATAGGAAAATTTGTGCAAGCAAAATTTTTTAATGTGAAAAATAGACTATTGCGGACTATTGAATAGATTGATTGCCCTCATACAGCTGGTTTATTTCCAGATATAAATAAGATGCAATACATAAAAAAGATAACAATTTTTGTTATAAAAATTTTCTTTTCAACAACAGATCTATTGATTTCTTAAAACGTTCCAGAACTTTTATAATTATATACTGATTGTTTTTATTGATTTACAATCCGTTGAATCCGTTACAGGACTTTGCAGGGAATAAAAGTGTTTGTCTCTTAGGTACTTTATCGATTTCCATGGGCTCCAAGAAGTCGCCTCCAAAGTTTTCGCCTATTGATTGGTGCTGAACAGGTGAACCGCCGACCCGCCACACCTGTCTTATATGGCAAGGATTTCAATGCACGGTTTTTCTTTTGAACAACTTTTGCAAAGGAAGAATTGATAACTAGAAAAGTTAGCAATTCCAACAAAATCGAAGAATAGAGCAATTATTCTAATCTTTCTTTACACTGAATAATAAATTTTGACTTTTCTTCTTCAAAATATCTAGAGATATTTTCCTTATAAAATTATTAACAAAATACAGAAATCCAAAGTCACCTAACCTCAAAAAGGCAAGTTAATATAAAATTACCAAAATTTATTAAAATTAATATAAAATTTTAATATTTTTAAGGTGGAAATCATAATAAAGAAGGAAATTGTATCAATTTTGTGTATTTGTCAGCAGACCTGCTGGTTTCCCAATCAATAGTTTTCGGTGCCCGAACGTTAAAAGCACCGAGCATTTCAGAATATATACCGAGCACTAGTGCGCCGGCAATAATAATTTTCTCTCTCGGCAACTCGCAGACTCTGTACCACTCTTCCATCCCTCCGTAGCCGCCGTTGCCGAGCTCTCTCTCTCTCTTCTCTCTCTGCCGCTGGTGGTGGAAAGGCGGAACGCATGCGTTAAAACTTTAGCTCGCCAAACTTTTCCGTCGCTCTTTTCATCTCTCTTGGCTTGGCCATCCTCTATATTCCCCTTACGGCTCTCCTTCCTTGCAAGACTTCCCAAATACGAGAGCGAATTTCGGCCTCACCGGCACACAACCACCACTATCCGGACAGGCCGAATCGACGACACCACCCTTCCAGGTTCGCCACTGCCTCTGGTGAGTACCGTTATTAGTTTTTTTTTCAATCGATTCCAAACTTTTCTCATATGGTTGCCACACGTGGCTTATCAAAAGTTGTAAAATGTAGAATTAGAGACAAAAATTGTAACAAACAGTTTTCTTTTTAAATGTTATCTCAATGTTTACAATAAATTTGAAAAAAATGTAGCAATTAAAAATCTGCGTAGAGCTGATTAAGAATTTGCTAGGAATTACTTTCTTTGTAAATTTTAAAATATATTTATAATAATATGATTATGTAATATGGTATATTAAGTATAGAATTTTGGCATATGGCGCATATGAATAGTTACTAAACAAATTTCAATAGTTAGATTATTCACTCTTTCTTTCGAATAAAAAAAGCTTTATCATTTTTAAATAACAAAAAATAAATCTATTCATCTGAATAAAAAAAAAAATGTTATAACAATTTAAGTTTTTTAATCTAAGAGAAGAATTTATACATTTTAAACTTATTATTTTTATACAATTCTAATTAAAAACTGATGATTGCAATATAAAAATCCATAATGCCTTTCTATTAGATCTTTTTTTATAAAATAAATTCAATTAATACAATTTAAACTTCTATTGAACGGGTAGAGCGTAATTGTCTTTTAGGTCCGTCGTTCAAACGGAGAGGGAAGAGTCGAAAGAATTTTCCGCGGGCGAGTGGTTGCCGACTGAACAGAGAGGTGGCACTACAAACCGCCCCTTCGGCTCGCTGAGAGGAATGATTCAAGAATAGAGTATTTATGCGAAAATTCACTTCTGTTTCAAAAGCATCTAAACTAACAGATTTACAAAATTAATCGATAATGTTTAAATCAGAAAGAATGAGGAAGAAAAAAAATGATATAAAAAGGTTAGTTAATTGAATTTTAAAAATTGCCAACTGTAATTGTTAAATGAAATAGACAAAAAACGTTTCCTCTAGGCTTTGGCTAGTTTATGGAGAATAGTTTTACTGCAAATATTGAAACAAAAAATAACTACACAGATAATAATAAAATTTATATTTTTATTTAGAAATTAAATGAAGGTATGCAACCGGCTCGACAAAGAGGTTCGGCGCATTGCCTAATGCCTATCACCTCTCGAAAGTGAACTGGACCAGGAAAACGCTGGTTTTCGAAATGGCAATAAACATCAATTAGCTTGAAGTGGAAACGAAACTTCCACGATTCGATTGCGGGTTGGCCAGCTTTTGCGACAAAGTTGCTTGCTCTGGGAAAAATGAAGCGGCTAGTTTTGGAGGGCAATAAATCTGTTAACCCTGCGATTGTTTTTTGCTGGCGGATCGGGTGAACGAGATCAAGAGCAATAATAGCGGGAATATTATTTCCCCCGAATGGGAACGGGCAGGTACGGTGAAAGTCTTATTTCACGGCGTGTTCTATGGCCTATCAATGGCCTATTGCTCCCCGGAGGGTCGTAAGGAAAAAGAGGCAAGTTGGAATTCTTGTCCAGCGTGTGACGATTTAGGAGTTGCCGAGTCGTGATTTGTTGGCCGAACGCGGCGCGCCCGCCAGCTCGACGTGCTTTTAAGACTAATCCGGATATATAACTGGCCGGGCGGGACATGCCACCCCTCGGACGGCCCCGGGTGCAGCCAAGATGCTCACGAAGGCGTGATAAGAGCAGGGTCGCCCTAAATTAATGTTGTTTTTGCACTGCGCGTTGCTCGCTCACAACTTTTTGAAAGGGCTACTCTTTCAAGCACATATGGACTCACGCGGGAACTCCTTTTTTTATAAGAACTATTTTTTTTACCCAAGGTTTGCTTTCAAATTGTTCTCTAAGTTTAAAACTGGACACGCGTAAATTAAAGTTTAGGATTATTAAATAGAGAGCTTTATGTATCTCCTAAAAGCTTTTAAGGTTAATTTGTTTTCTTAGCATTTATTAAAAAAAAGCTATGTTTTGTACTACAATTTCAAGTAAATAAAAAACATTTGCTGCTACTTTTGAGCAGTGGCCATCAAAATTTAAATTTCCAAGCAAATTCATACAAAAAAAATCAGCAAAGAAGGGATAATTTATATAATAATATTTCAATAAACACTACTTTATTTTAATGTGCCTGTATTATCTTAGCTCGCCATGCATATTTAAATTATGATTTTAAAGTAAAGATGATTTTTTTAAGCAGTTCAGTATGTTACAAGGTTTGAGGAGTAATCAATGTGGCACTACAGAATTTTATAACCGCTGATCCAAAAATAAAACAGGAACACTGACATAAGATTTCCCTATTCAGGGTTTTACTGCATTTGAATGACAATGCCCACCGCGGTGCCAAAAAAGCATAAAATCCAGCTTTATTGTGAGGTTTTATTATTCTTATTTCCACGTACATGTACAAAAATAAAATCAAAATTTTACTATAATATATAAAATATCAGAATTTACTGCCCGATTTTTTTTTCTTTACTTTGCTTTTTTTTATTAACCATCGAAAAAAAATTATTTTTATCAATTTCTTTTCATTTTATTTAAATATTCATATGAAAGCTTAATTAAATTACGTAGAATAGTAAAAAAATGCAGTTTAATTTTTCACCCATATTGGTTAATGAATTTTTAAAACGATTTCTTACAATTAGTTGCAAATTGTTGGGTTTCATTATTTGGCTTTTGTTGCGAGAGGAGATTATATACCTTATTAAATAAAACCCACAATGATTAGTGTATAACGATGAAGAGTAGAAAGTTTATATTATTAATTATTGAACACAAATATGTAACTGAAAATCAATAGACGTATTTGTAAAATTAAATTAAATTAGCAAAATTTTAAGATAATGATTTTCTTTAACAAATTCAAACCTAGTATGATATTTAGCTCTTACTAAACTAAAAAAATCTTGTTTCCTGCAAAGCAGATTATTTAATACTGTTCTCATTTAAAGAAATATATTCTGCATGATAATGTCAGTCTTAATGGCTGAATTGTTGGAATGTAATTTCGATAAGATATTCCTGAAGAGCAGCACGGCGGCACGTACAGGGACGGTTCGGTCACTAGCACGTCAGACGCAACACATTGTCAATACGTAATAATAATAATAATCAGAGAGACGAGGATGGCGACAATGGTGTACGCGTCTCTATCTACGATCTAACTAACGAAATGCGGTTGTGCTGCGACACCTGAAAGTTTGCTAAATAGGGCCCGGCGCGAAGTTGCGGCGACGAGCCGAGAGGTTCGTGCACAAGTAGCGAACCAAGTCATCAAGGAAGAAGAAGAAGAAGAAGAAATTCTCTCTCTGGCGCGCGCATGAATGAGAGAGAATAATATTAGAAGAGAGGGTAGGAGCAGATTGTGGTGGAGCGAAATTTCGTCTCGAGATGCAGCGGGGGATGTTTGGAATGCTAATGGCACTGATTTTCGCCATTTCGCACTTATTATGATGCTCATCGCGTTGGTTAGCAGCTGAGGAGGAGCAGCAACTCCTCTCCCGGCTTTTGCAACTTGGTGTAATAATAAAAAGCCAGGGAGGAAGAAAGTTGGTCGGTCTCTTGGTGAATGTGAACTACGGCTGGATGGGCTTCCTCTCTCGGATAATTTACATGTACACGACGATGGGGTTGAAAACGCTGCACAGCCTTAATATGGGTGCCGGCGAGATTACTGCGCTGCAAGAGACGCGCTGCGGAAAACGAGCAGTCGGACCATCTGGTGTTTGATGTTATTTATTAGAGAAATTGAGACGCCAGAGGTGGCCCGCATGTGCCGCTTGCTCTTTCGCTCGCCGGCGAATAATTAAAAAGTTGGTTGCCCCCGCTGCCGAGGGACACAAAACACCCAAGCAGCCGGCGAAAGTTTTGCACTTCTTGCCGCCAATAATTAATAGCGAGCGAGACACGGCGGAAGACGCTCATTACCCCATTTGGTCCCTGGCACAAGTTGCTCGCAAGAAATTGGTTTTGTTACCAAGGTTAGAAATTACACGAAAGATATGTTTTAAAGGTTCAAGAGCTTTTTTTGTTTAAATAAATAAAACCATATGTAAATTGATTAAAACCTACCAAATAATTTTGAAGTTACGGGTTTTGCTAATAAGGGAAAACTTTTTATTCCTAATGTAAATTTGAAACACTTTCACGCCTATTATAATAAGTAAAAAAATGTTGCTGAATATAAATTTGGTAATCCTAAAACTTACTTGAAAATCTTTATAATATTGAGTCAAAATGAAAAAAACCCTTATAGATAGAGATTGTGAAATTTGAAATTTCAAAGTTTTGGGTTACGTTGTGCTATAAATTAAATTAATTATAATTAATTGCAATAATACAAGAAAAATTAAGTCGCAAAATTATACAAAATATTCAGAAATATTTTTTAGAAGTCTTCAAAATGAAGTGGTGTTGAATTTAAATTAAGTATTCTTTTTCATGAAAATTTTACGTCAGATATTTAGTCCCTGTTGCTTTCACGTAGCAGTGACTAGTGTGTGTATTATGTAAAGCGTATATAGACGCAAAGAAAGTGTACCCACAAATCTCGGCGTCGGCTGAAACCCCCGTCTTTTATTTATATTCACAAAGTGAGAAAATGGACTGCGCCATAAATCCAGTAGTCGCTGACAATCGGTAATAAAGTATGAATACGTTTGCACGGAGGAGAGAGCCAGAAAGGCGGCGGCAGTTTCTCTTCTCTCGCGGCCGACCGCACTGCAAATGGAATGAGTCGCTGGCACCTAGACGCCTGTCCGACTATCGGTCGCAAAAGTTTTGCTTTTCGATCGAATGCGTACGTATTAAAAAAAGAATGAGTAAAATGGATGTATGGGTGGATTTCTTTACGCAAACACGCCCATCCTACCGAATTGTTCTAGCTGGAAATATTATTCTTGATGTGAAGGAATAAAAGTTTCTTACTATTTGAACAAGATAAAGGATTTTTTTATCTTTTATTGTATAAAATAAAAATTTATTTCAATTATTATGTAAAAATTAAAAATAATGCTTTAAAACCTTCGGTTCTT